TACCCACCAATGAAGAAAAACCCATTTTGGACATTATTATGCAAGTGAAGGAAAAACTGGACTTGCACTAAGCCACTGTGATACCGGGGGTTGTCAGGACAGCTCACGTGGCACTGACTGGCCGAAGTCGCTGTGTCATTGCCACGGCTACTCCTTTGGCCCTCTCTCAGCCTAGGACACGGCCTCACCGCGCTCCCGGTTACCTTTGCACTTTCAGGTTTCCTTTCCTTCCTGCAGGTCCCACCCCATCAACTGGGAAGGCAGCAGGGCAGAGGCGCGTCCTTCTAAGATGAGTGCTGCGACGTGCTGTCTGCCCTCACTGCTGCAGCGTGGCAACGGGAGCGCCCGGGCCCCGTACGGCACTTGTACCTTTAGGCGGAGCAACGACGGATGCTTTCTCTCTTGTTTGCTTAGAACACGTGCTTTCTAGACTCCCACAAGTGCAGTCTTTGCCTCAGTCCTTCCCCAAGTTCCGACTGCGTCTGACCTGGCGGGGCTGGGGGAGGGTGCTCGTGCTGCTCGCGCTTTCTCAGGACAAGGAGTATTTCTTGTGCCCCAGCCACGCTGTCGGGCACAGAGTCGGTGCTCCACGACTGCTTGCTGAAGGAACGGACAGGGCCACTCAGTGCTGTCAAACACACTGGGATGCTATGGAAATAATCTCAGACGTTTCTGCTCTTCAGAAAACATCTTCAAAGCCACCCCCTCAATTTACGGTCAGCCGTGACAGAAGCTTTTCCTTGAAAACCAGATGCGTAGAAGTCAGGCTAAATTACGAGTCGCTTCGGGGAATCCAGAGAAATAAGGATGGTGCGAGAGGGCACGCTAAGGAGGACTCTGCTTTCCTGCTGCTCTGCTAAGCGCTGTTTTTTATCCCCTCCTTTGCTCTTTCTTCCCAAACTCTTCAAGTTTACAAAGTCACTCTTTATTCTGACACATACCTCCCTAAGTCACCTGCCCAGTAAAAGCTGCAAGCATCCACTGTACTCGGTTTCTCCCCAAGGCCAATGCCCAGTCAAGGCCCCTGCGGCCGCCCAGGCTGAGAGGCCTTGTCAGTGCTCTCAGAGCACGTTGCCCAGCCCCACACAGGCTCACGCCTTCACAGTGCCCTCCTGCTCCACACAGCAGCTTTCTTTGAGAGTCACAACACAGAGCTTCTCTCGTCAGAGACACCAAGGCCAGACCAAGTTGGCAATCAGGAAAAGCATGGGCTATACCATAACCTTGAAGAGTAAAGACATTCTTTTATAGTTTTTCTTTTATAGCCTCAGACCCATGTGGTGCTAGGAATCAAGATTAAAACAGAAACGCCACCAACCTGCAGACCAAATGGCATGAGTCAATGACATCAGCCTGACACCTGTTTTGAGCCCCAGCAGCCATCCAAGTTGCACACAGGGTCACTTTGTTTGCTGCAACAACAGAGCAACCTTAGGAAGAGGTATTTTGGACAGGATTTCACTCACTACAAAAACAGCTGGCTAATCTTTCTCCCAGTAATACGTGAGAATCATTTATTATTTCATTTTTTTAAAAGACATTAATATTCCCTTTATTTGATGCTGGTGCCACAAACTGAACATGCTTTAATTCATTTAATTTTCCTCAAAGTGCTAGGCATGGCTCTCTACCACTGAGCTATAGCCTCTTTCTTGCTACCTTAGTTTCCCCAAACTCATCTCTATCTCCTCACCTCAGGGAGAATGCGGGGTTCCAGGTGCCTCAAGAAAGTCAACTTTCATTTCTAGGTACTTGCGCTCAGAGTGCTGCACACCTTTCTATGATAAAAATGATAGAAGTCAGGCCCAGCAGACACTAGTCACTCTTGCTCAAGTCCAGTTGTGTTTTCTGTTTGTTATATTGACTAGTTTGGCACAAATGTCATCCTACTGAAATGGGGCATATAATAACGGTGTTGCAGAGACCCGACAGCCACACGCCAAGGAATGAGACTTGACCACTGTCTTACACCGTCCACAAAAATTCTCTCACAACAAAACCAGGCCTGAAACCACACACCTTAAAAAGCTTGTGTGCAGCAATGGAAACTGTCAAGAAAATGGAAAGGCAACCTGCAGAGTTAGACCAGCTACTGGCAAATCCTGTGTCTGAGACGGGGTTGGTAGGTAGGCACCTTATGAAATCGATAAAGGTCACATTAATGAAATGCGGCGTCACTAACAGTAAAACTGAGAGCTGATGCAGGTGTGGGAAACAGACACCTATGTACACGGCTGACAAAGAAACTCCGTTCTTAAGAAATACAAACAGCCAACATATGAAAAGACACTGAACCTCACTAGTATTAACAAGGTTGATAATATGAAATGGAGACATGGGGACATGGGTATTTTCAAACACTACCGGTGGAAACAAATTTTGTGTGTTTGGATGGCAATTTGGCACTAACCAGTGAAAAATGCACACCCTCTGACCCAGTAACTGTTTCTAAGAAGCTTTCTTTCTGGTGTGTCTGCACAAGTATGCAAATACATATGCTGTAGCATTTTCTGAAGTAGCGAACATTTTGAGAGCTTCCTAATATGTCTGTCAGTAATTAAACTAGGTAACATACCACTATAGAATATTATACAGCCATTAAAACCAATGAGGTATTTACATTTGTGACAGTGGTTGAATAACAAAGTTGACTTGATCTGTACTTTGACTTTTGACTGTTTCTGAAATGCAGCCGAGTGCTTGGTGAGTTACAGGACGGTTTTTTTGTACTAGGGAAGTAGAGAAAGTAGTTGGACAGGGAGTTGTACAAAAAAAAGCTTCAGTTACTAGCCTCACATTTCCCCTTATAATGAAAACACTTCAAAAAGGCTATAGAAATACTTCCTATGAAAAGTGCCCTTCTGGACAGAGCAGCCCACCTAGACTGTTGAGGCGAGACTCACTCGGTTGTGGTGGCCCTAGTTCCGACCCTGCTTCTGTGTCTCCCTCGCTCCAGGTCAGCTCCATCCAGAACCAGATGCAGTCCAAGGGCGGCTACGGGGGCGGCATGGCTGCCAACGTGCAGATGCAGCTCGTGGACACAAAGGCGGGATAGCCCCGCTCCCGCCTCCAGTGAGTATCTGCGCTCAGGCCGCGGTGCCAGGTCGCACGTGGCCAACAGACCACTGACAGCACAGACGGCCTTAATTTAAAAGTGTTGGGTTAAAAAGTATCTTGTGCTCTTATTTTAAACATTATGTACTAACTGGAAAAGGCAGACATTTTTAGTTGGCCAGGTGATGGTCATATGCACCTACTGCATTTTGAACATTAGTTTCAAGTTGCTCTTTTCCTTAGGACAGCTAGGTGGGGAGGCTTTGACTGAGATTCTTGTGACAAGATGTCACTTTTGTGTCCTCTAAACATGAGTGAAATTACTACTCTGAGTATTGGTACTGCAGGAAATCCCACATGTAGAAAAGTACTTTTATATTTAACACTGTTACTAATCTTTCATAGTAAACGTCTCAAATTGAAAAGACAGCTTTTAAGAAAAGATGAGCCTCTAAAGCGTAAAAATAATTTGGATTTTTCTTTTGATTTTATAGTTCATTCTGAATTTGTTTTGTTCCACTGTTCTTAATTTTTTGTTGTTATGATTGCTTTTCTTTCCTTTGCAAATACGCAAAAGAAGTGTGATGGCCTCTTGTTCACCCTGTTGTGATTACTCCAGTGACACGTAACCGCTCTGCTCCGAAGAAACTGTCGTCAGATGAACCCTGCGTTTTCTTCCGCTGGCATGCATGCCTTTGGACTCACGGACAGAGTTCTTTGGATTGTGGCTTATCTTTATCAATATGGATCTGATTTTAGCATGATCTTTTTTGTGAATGCTAGCACTGTTTTGCATTTTTTCCCCATTTTTGACATTTCTCTTTCCATCTCCAGCCCCCGGCCTTATGATTTTATTGGTAAGCAAAGACGTGCTATTATTTGTTACTTTGTCACCATTTATGTATATTTTGGAAGGTATGAGAACCATAAGCACAATGATCATTTCTATCCACTTAAAACTTCAGCAGAGTAGATACCTGCATGCTTTATGAAGTTGCTTTGTACAGGAGCCCATGGGATGCCAGAAAGGAACGGGCTTTGCTGCCATGGGCTGGTGATACTGCTGCTGTTAGAGGAAGGTTAGCTGTGGCACCAAGTCACAGCGGTTTCACAAAAAAAAGGCAACTTGTAGCTTAAGACTTTTATTTAGTTAGAACTACAGTGAAAGAAAAGCTTGCATTCATAAGGCATTCATTCTGTTGTAAATGTTCAGTATATTTATTTGAAAGTGAGGACCTGGGATTGTAAACAGTTACGGGTGTGTGGTCACATCCTCCCCATCCAGTCTGACTGCGCATCGCTATCTATCTTAGTAGCTGTTCATTTTTTGTGTACTCATCTGTTTTCACTTGTTTAGGTTTAATACTATGGTATTCAGTTGTTTCCAGTAGCAGCCTGTTGAATGTCCTGTGAGAAACCTTTCGCTCAAGTTCCAAAATACGTTTATTCTTCACAAAGTGTATTTCAGATATTTCTGTAAGGATGTAGTGCTAAGCCAGGTAGTGGTCTGTTTTCTCATTAAACTATTTAAGTCCTATGTCTAGTTGAGCCGTTATCTAAGAGTTACATTTGGTAGCACTAACATTTCATGTAGGAAATGGGGTGACATTGCATAAAGAGGGAACATTTTCTGTCTTCTTCGATCCCTTTCCCCTCACCTTAGTCCCAAATTCTTGTGAATCATAGAACTGCATACGTAGTAGGTTTTAGGGGCAAAACATGAAAGCATTTCTCCCACAGTTCTTTTCAGTTTACCCAGTACAGTGGGCGCCAGATACTCCTGCCCTGTGTTTCTGCAGTTTTGAGTCTTCGTAGGTCTCAATCCCAAACAGAATCTGTCAAGGAAAGACATTTATGCTTAGTAATCGAAATAGGCATTTTGCGGTTTAATACCTTCTAAACTTGAATTCACCTGGTGTCGTTAATTCACTGTGTGGATACTGCATTCTGGACTTCGCGTGAGTGCCAGGTCAGTGTCCTGCCAGGGCCACTGCTGTGTGCAGGCTCTTTTTAAGGGACGGGTTTCCTTGGCCTTGACAGCACTGATGCTGTTGAGTCTTAATTCTACTTTGACTTTAACATTTAGTATGCAGACTTTATCCTGGGCCTACACCTCCTAGACGACAACACAGGGAGCCATAGTTCCTTTTTCCCAGCTCGTGATTTGATTTGATTGTTTCCTCCAACTGCTCACTTTCCTGATTCTCCAAGGACCAAATACTCCAGTGAGCACTGGAGCGTCTCCGTGGTAAACCGAAGGCTGCACTCTAAAGCCTCTGGCTGTTCTGCAGCCGCCACCGACTTGACAGGCACAGGCAGCCACGCTGCGTGCAAGCCCGCCTGCCAAGGCGCGTGCCGGTGACGGCAGACGGAGTAAGACAATTACCAAAAATTCTAAGAGTTAACATTGGACACATTTTTTTTTTTTAGGGAGTCAGTTTTCCCACAGTGGTAAGTGGCTTTGTAAATCTTGGGAGGTCATTTGCTCCCCATGACTGTGTGTCTCGCTTGAAAATTGATGCTAATTCAATAACTAGCATTGACTGTTAATACTTTGCTGAACTATATGCTAACAGCTGTTACCTAATGACACACATTCTTTTATCAGTGATCTGCATTCTGTGGAGGAGGTGCTTTCCCACGAGGTAGGCAGAAAGTGGGGCCAGTGAGCGTAGAGGAGCAATGTACACTGTGGTGACTGGGGCAGCATTTCCCAGGCAGCATTATCGGTGGGCCTTTAAATGAGATACTTTGTGAGTATATCAGCTTTCACTTTTGTTATTAAATTATAGCAGTTTTATTATAGAGAGCAAGTTTGCCTTGATTTTGTTTAAAATGACTTCTGCTCAGCGCCCAGGAGATAAAATTGACATATTTTTATAATATAAGCATACTTTTTTTGTACATTGTGTTCATTCTTGAATAAAGTGAGTTCAGTGTTGGCTTGTAGATAATAAAAAGAAAGTATTGATTTTGATTCAATAAATGTTTTTCACTCCTGCTTTGGTTCCTTTCTTTCAGCAAAGTATTTACTACACTCACAGAAGGTGCTGTTTTAGTAGAGTTATGACTGCTATCGTGACTGCAAAAAACAATTTATCATTTTCTTCTTTAAAAGGGGATTTAAATTTCTACACTTCACCTGATAATTTAAAACGAGGTATCAAACTCCTACTTAGTTTTCCATGCTGCAGCATTTTGTTTTCCCAGGATACGCTGGCTGGCAGTAAATACAACTAAGAAATGTTCTATGACTGTAGTGTGGAATTTCCATCACAAAGTGTGTGGACAGTTTAAAGAAGTTCGCTCCTAAAAGAAGACAGTGGTTCCCATCAGGGGCAATTCTGTCCCCTAGGGAACATTTGAAAACAGTATTTTTGGTTGTCCGAAATTGAAGTGGGGTACTTACTGACACCCAGACAACAGAGATTTTATCTAGTTCCAAATGCCAGTGCGACTGATTGGAAATGCTGATTCAGATGAGAACAAAGAAGACCTGTATACTCACCAGATCCTGCCAGAGACTCATCCATGTGTTGGGCCTTGTGCCTCAGCTACTGAGAATACTTCACTTAGGATTGGCTGCATCGTGAGACCTGGTGTACAACACTCTAAAATAGAAAAATCAATGAGAAAAGTAAAGTATTAGAAAAGTTTTGATAATTTTTGTCTTCAACTCAACTCAACTCATGGCCAAGGACTGTAAAGGGAAAACTGGGTTAAGATGAAATTATGGCAGGCCAGTAAAATAAGCTGATTAAAGGGAAAAAATTATGTAAAGAAACTCATGTCAATATATGAGCTCTATTTCGAGTGCCTCTTTTCAAAGGATAGGCATAATGTGCACAAAAAGTAGGGCAATTCCGTAAAACAGAGACCATTTGCTACGATTGTGAAAATGTAAAAATCTACCAAATGACTCATGATAATCTGTATTTTAATATTTGGGCTCCTTAAACTTTCAGTTTTTAGGATGTTTTTGAGATGAGGTTTTTATCTGCCTTTTTTTTTTTTTTAACATTTCTACCAGATATATGCAACCTCTGGGCTACTTCTGACCCTACTCTACAATTCTTAATTGCATCATATTTATAGTTGGTCCTTTGATGCCCAAAAGAAAAAAAAAGCTAAGATCCAAATGTTTGATCAGGGACCTTACAAACAACTGCTGACAGAGTGGTGCTTTTGGTATTGCAGAAAGGATGATTTTAGTTTCCCTAGAGGATAACAGCAGAACAGTAAAGGCACGGTCCACTCTAACCCCAAACTGTCTCTGTGAATCCAAGCTCTGGAGTTCACTAGAACTTTTATAACTCACTGAACCTCCAATGTTCATTAGCTTAAGATAGATGAATACACCAAAAGCCTGCCTGGGAGGCCCAGAGAGGATTCCTACACACAGGTGTTTTTTTTTGGTGGTGTTGTTTTTGCTCCTTTACAAAGGAGCAGCAAATAAGATAATAATCTTTAAACCTTGACCTGAGTGTCTTTTTTTCCTTACTGTTGCTAATTGAACCCACTTGTACACCTGTGTGCCTTTCAAATGTCTGAGCGCTGACCTTAGACCCTAGGTCTGTGCCAACAGCTCCCCAGGGCCTGATCCCCTCTGCTGAGGTGCAGGGAGCACTTTGCTGGCTGCAACATGTTCAGGCTGTGTCAGAAAACATTTTGGCTGCTGTTTCTGGTTTCCTTTAAAAACAGTATTTCACTTCTCAGAAACTGTGCCAAGCAGCTTAGTCCCTTTAGGATATTATAACAAAATACCCCAGATTTGGGTGGCTTACAAACAACAGAAAGTGACTTCTCACAGTTCTGGAGGCCAGAAGTCTTGAGATCAGGGTGCCAGCACGGTCAGGTGAGGGCTCTCTGCCAGGTGCAGACTTCTAGGTCTTCACTTGGTGGGAAAGGCTGGAGAGTTCTCTGGAGTCTCCTCTGTAAGGCACTAATACCATTGCCTTTGGGAGTTAGAATTTCAGCGTGAACAGAGGGAACAGACATTCAACGATAGCACAAAGGTACCGGGGGTGAGTGACTGGACTGTACCCACGTATATGCGGCCACATCCAACCTGTGCACAGTGGAGCTAACGCCATGCAGGCTAATACTGTAACAGGACCAGCTTGTACTGCAGCTCAGACACAGAAACAAGCAAACCTTTCTCCCTTCCTCTCTCTTTCCAACTTGATGTTCCTGAAGGAAACCAACAGGACAAGTAGACATTTTGGGAAGAAGTCACTATGGTAAGTCATTTGAGCGATGAGAAGTTCTAGGATTCAAGTGACCCAACCTGTGATTAATAAGAGTTTTACAAAGGGAAAGCAAGGGAAACGCTCGGGGTGCGGGGGTGGGAGGAGGGGCATCTATCAAAAAAGGAATGGTCTCTTCATTCTTTATGCCTTGAAATTTTTAAAAATGGGTTTTGCATTTATACTGTCACACTTCACAGACCTCAAATGGCCCTTTCTTCTGCAATTCATATATTCACCTCTGGGAAATTAGATAATTTCTTGGATTGTTCCGTCCAAAGAGTACCAGGTTTCTCAGCAGCAGCGGTGCGTCTAGAACATAATGGAACACTCGTCTCGGCTTCTGAGAGAACTGATCATCACTTGGCACTACTGTCTCTCTTCAGCCGAACTTTCACTGAAGTGAGAAGGCAAAACAGATCACGCTAGCAGGCAATCCAGAACTTCCCACATTCCCCTCCCGAAAATACCACTTGAGAATGTGGTCTTTAGAACAAATCAAGGAGCGTAATTAAAAGAAATCTCAAGATTTCCAGGCCTGAAGCAGACCTAGAAAGCAAGTTATCCAAATTAAAGCAATTAGATTACAAAAATTGGTCATAAAGAAGCATAATTAAATGGGTGTCATTCAGTAACTGGGCAATTCATGCGCTCAGACATTTTCTGTTGAGAACGATGTGCCCAGGCACTTTTTAGACACTGGGGATAAATATACCACATTTGCAGAATACTGGGGGGTGGGGTGGGCGACCCATATGATCTTCTAAATTGGACAAAATTCAATAGCCTTTTAAAACACAAACCTAGGACTAGAAGGAAACTACTTAAACAAAACGAAGACAGTATATGAAGTCCACAGGCGATATGGTTCAAGATGATAAACGCTTTTCTTTAAGATCAGGAGCAAGACATGGATCCCTGTTCTCTTGCTTTCACTCCCTTGTGCTGCAGCACGAGCCCCAGTAAAGCCCTGCCTGAAGTTTCTGTCTGGTCTGGCCTCTTATCAAGAGTCCAAGGGCTCAGTGCAAGTGACAACCCCACTTACGTGAGGCATCCAAGCAGTCTAGTTCTTAGGAACAGAAAGTCACAGAACAGATTAGGTGAACTTGTTCAAAGGCAACAAGAGTAGAAAAATAAAGAGAAAGGAAACATTAAATATGATGATCCCAGCCCAATCAAGTGCCCACTAAGAACAGCCTCAGGGCAGACTTGGCCGTACAGCTGAGAAAAGCACATCGCTCCATTACCTGACATTCTTTTCCCCGTCCCTCCTAAGTGCACACTTGGGATGGACTCTGACCGAGATCACTGCTGCCCAACACTCTATGCCAGCAGAAATGAGGCTTTCAGGATTGAGATCTTGTTAAACAGTAAAAAGGTTCATGGGAACATGACCATCACAAGAAACAAAGATTCCGAGAGAGGCCAAGTCAGAAGCTCAGGTTATTCAGCAACCGCCCAATACCTCAGGGTCAGGGTGTGTCTATTCCTCAGGCAGCAGAAGTTCCTCCCAGGCTGCGGAAACCACTACCCACAAGGTCTTTGCTTGCTAGATGGCATAATAAAATGATGCCTAAGGTTTTATACAGAGCATCCTTGCTGTGCCTGTCATGAAGCAGTGACTTAAGGGATAAATGCACCATGCGTATCTACAAACCATTTGATGTTTTCAATTCAAATCTGATACCACACACATGGTCAGACACAGGTGTTGACATAGCGTCCCACGTGAAAAACACCACGTGCAGAAAACTCTGACATGGATGTGGGGCTCTCCTAGAGTGCCAGCACTAAGAAAGGGGAAACCCGAGTGCAACCCGGCCAGGAAACCAATGAGTGGTGAACACAACGTGTTCTAGGATTAAACAGACCCTCCTGACTTGGATCTAAGACTACAGGCCGTTTTCCTCTTCCCTGATGTCGGCACCCTCCTTTCCCTGCTCAGCGGTGGGCGACCTCAGTGGAAAGCTCTCTCCTGCCTCCCAGTCGTCTCTGCAGCTCTCGGTTACAAGGCACAACCAGAGCTCAGCAGGCCTATCAGTGTAGCTCAAGGAGACCCTTGGTGGGCCACCAGATGAAGGATTTAGAAGGACTAGTACAAGAGGAAATCAGCACCATAGGCTTCTAGCGAAGCAGGTGGTAAAAATGCTAACAAAGTGTGATCTCTGTTCTCTTTCCAATTCTCAGAAATAAACAAGGAAGGCAGACTTTCCAGTACAGGTTCAATGGACTGGTTTATTCATTAGCCTCTCACTAGTTCCAGGCTGCCAGAAGCACTTTATAGGCCTGGCCTCACAGGGGAGGGAGAAGGGGGCTAGGTGGGTGTGCCTGGTTGTGGGGTGACAAGATAGGATGGGACACTGGAGGGAGAGGGTGAGGAGGCGTTCAGAAAGCACCAGTCCCCTGTGAGGCATGAGCCTGGCTGATTCCACACCCATCCTATTAAAGAGCTTTTACTTTCCCAATGTCAGAGATGATGGGACAGGTGATTAGAGACAGTAAATGACTTGCTCAAGGTCAGACAGCCGGTAACCGGCCATGGCAGTCTTAACAGCTTATGACGAACGTCACGGGGTCATACAGGAAATGACCCTGCTGATCCACAGGCTAGGAATTCCAAGGAACGCCTCACACTGGGCCCCCTGCAGTGTGTGTAGGGGTGGGTCACTTTGACTCACAGTCCCACCAAAACCCCACGGTTTGGGAAAGGAATAGTTCCCTTAAAAAAGAGAATGGGGGAGCTGTTGTCACATGG